TATTCTTTCACGTCAGGAGCTGACAATACCAGAAGATTATATTTCAATTTTCTGCCTCTTCATGGATTTGTGGCCCAAAAGCCTCGTATCAGACAACAAAAATTGTGCACTTCTTGGTATAACACTATGACAGCACCACAAACTACTTTAAATGATCATTAGTTGAATTAATTCCTCTGTAAAACAGTTTCAACATAAACCCAACATCATGACATTCTATTACCTAGCTAGGTCTAAATAATAAACAGGAAACTGAGCGTATGTAACACAATGGTACTGTTGCATCACAGATCAAAGCACAATTGTACCCAAACCTCTCTCAGTACCTCCATAGCAACAGTGCACCTTGTGTGTATTGATGCACTTTCCGGCTCTTTTGTCATTTAGATTAAACCACTGCTCCTCAGTTTATGGCACAAGCTCTTTTGTTTTTAGCCCCTCTCTTTTACTCATCACATCTCAGTGAGGACCACGAGCAAAGGAGGTGGACGAGAGATGAGAGACTGAATGTTATCTGCAGCTGATGTTAGCTGTAGAGAAGACCGGACAGACCCTGAATCAAGTTCCTGACTGTTCGCTTTCATAGACCTCAACTTCATGTAATTAGAAAATGGGGACATCTAGTGATCAATATGGTGGATTGCACATTGCAACAAACACCAGATTTGGAGATGTTTTACATACTGTATATCAACATATTCATCCTGCACTCCCACATAACGGGAAGAAGCTCAGCTAAAGCTCTTGATAACCATTTGAACCTATATGCAACACAATTCCAACACCGAAAAATAAATAGATTCCAGCAGTATTTTAGTAATCTACGATCAAAACTCACTGAACTACCAACCGAAGAAGAGAAAAAATAAACTTTATACAGCCATAACCATAAATTATTCATGGCTTCAAGGATAATTTATTGTCATTATGCAACACAGGGCTGCACAACGAAATGCAGTAGTCGCCCATTTGCTACACAAGAAAAACACGACCACCAACAAAACACAAACAGCAGTGCTTTCCTGGACATTTTTTGAACTTGCATCAAACCAATTCTCTGGGCAATATGGCCAACATTTGAACACTAAAAATGGTGACTTTATTGTTGTTGTTGTTGTATTTGCTGACCACAGGAGGGCAGTGTTAGGCTGCTGATAAGACTGCTGGTGTACTCAGCATGATGGAAAAGCAATTACAAACCTTTCACATATTGTGCCCTTCTATTATGTGGTATTACTTCATGGTTTACAGAAAATAGCTTCGAAAAAAAAAAATTGAATCTCCTGATGTACAGTACTACAACATATGACCAATATCACAGTGTCATAGTGGCCTACAGGTTAGCAGTTCTGTATCTCCCGTGGAGAAATATTGCAGCCATTACTCAGGTTGTTGCTCATTCCCAGGAGCATGTGAGACTAACAGCACTCCAGGAGTCATTCAGGCAAAGCTCATATCCCATTCGACGCTAGGCTAGTTATAAATAGCACTGACTGAGCAGGCATGGGAACGGGACAGTCCAAAATAAGTGCATGCACATACAGAATGTTTTAGGCAATGTCTGAGGAGGACAGTGAATTCACCTGCTGTTAACGCTGGATATAAATGGTTTCAAAAATACAAAGTGAATTACCAATCAGTACAAGCATGAATGGATTCAAAAGCATGTCTATTTCTCTTCGTATATCTCTCCAGACTTTCTCTGTAGACGGACATAGACATAGCAACACACCCCACTGTGATAAATGGTTGCATTTCACACCCTTCCTTCAAAATGTTCCTCTGAGTGCCTCTGTGTGTTATTGTTGTTGTTAGTCTTGGTGTGATGCTGGCGGTGAACATCACAGGCACAGTGCTGGGTGGCACTGCCACTACAAGTACCTGTCATCTCTCCTGCACCACACATATTTACACAGCGGGGATGTGTGCTTGCACTACAGACCTGCCCTTTTCTAAATGGGCTACTCAAAACATGGTACACAGCAAATTATTGTGATAGTTTCGCAGGAGATGCTGAGGAAGCATTTTCTGCAAACGCCATTGTTGTTTGCTGCAGCAGAAGCCAAGTGGGTGCTGTAAGAATGTGTTGTCCTTTCTTTTTCTGATTTAAAGTCAATTTCATGACATTTTTTCTTTTAGGAAATATATTACCTTGCTTATTAAGCATGACTTTTACCTTCTTACTTTCAGTATTGTATCATGACTGCACTGTATGCATTACAGCCCAGAACCTGTCACCAAATGTAGTCCACAATCCCCCTTAGAGGCATCTTCTAATTCAACGCAGATGGCAAGAGTCAATAATAAACTGGCACCAGAATCTTATTAAATATATCATTACCCCATAGGCTTGGCAGGGTGAGCCCACTGTTCTATTTAAGTCCTTTTGTCTTACCCTTCGTGGAAAATTATATTTAGCAGGTTGAGGGATGTGTGATTTTCAACTCGAGGTTTACAAATGTGTAAACAAAACAAAGTAAACAAATGGGACACTTTCGGGCAGAAAGCAGCATTGAACAAAAGCGGCTTTTCGCGTTCTAGTTTCTAAGAATGAATCAAATACATTTAAGAGGAATACGGCTGTGCACAAAACCAGACGCCTTCACGGTGACAGCGCCAGCAACAGCATGTTTAATAGCTGTGCAAGCAGGAAAAATGGTGACAAGTATGCTGCCCTGAGGAATACCTTCTGTTGACTCTGGCATGCATAAAATCAGTTGATGGATAGATGGAGAAAGGATCTAGGGCTACATATGGCATATTTCATCAGAGAAATGGGAAATGTCTCTCAGATCAAATAACCCCTCAGCTCACAGATACACTGTCTTTTATATTCTTGGTATGGATGCTATTACAATCCACACCTGCTCCTTATACCTGAAATTACACCACAGATGACACCCCATCTTTCATTTATGTCTGATTCAGTATACAGTACGCCATGAGATGGGAGAGACAAAAGCCTGGGAACAAAAGCTGCAACTAACTGCCAACTATTGAGTCATGTATTACATTATTCTTATTCTTTTTAATATATTCAAATGTCTTGTTTTGTCAGACCAACAGTCCAAAACACCAAAGACATTCAGTTTTCTATCATATGTATCAAAAAAGAGCAGCAAATGTTCACACTTGAGAAAGAACCAATGGATTTTTGGAATTTGTCAAAATTGTTCATGACAATATCTGTTAATCGACTTATCATTGCAGTGCAATTGGGAACAATAATATCTCAAGACATCACCTTTGTTGATAGTGTATGTTGACATTCACATTGTAGATCTTGCCAACCATTTAGGCCATTTAAACCTTTAAAAATAACCAATGAATAGCATGAATTCTGGCTTCTATAGTCCTATAGTCCTCTTTTGTTACACAATATCAGACGCCATTGAACTGTTAAAGTCGTTCAATCTGTTTTCAATTTAAAGTTTTGGGTACCCCTCGTTAATCAGGTATTCTTCCAATAGATTAATCTGGACGAGTAGATATATTCTCGAATGAAAGTGTGTGATTGCATTCATGGTTAATCTACTGCAACTGACACCTCTGATAGATAGGAGGCAGTTAATGAGAGACCGGCTCATTTCTTTTTCCTCAGCCTCAGCCTCTATCTAAAAAAAAGAAAGAAATGGAGGTGCTCTCAGCTCATCCAAAAGAGCCTCAGCTGAAACTGATTGAATGCGGCCCTATCTCCATGATCACTTTTCCTTTCACACTTGTCAGAGTAATGGGTTGTGTCACAGAGTGCTAGGGTTCGGTACTAGATCTGAGTAGGTTCGTCATAACATTACAAGTACATCTCTCTTCCAGAGGTGTATCTCCAAGTCGTGAATTTGTCGTTAAACTTTTACATAACAGCCAGAGGGAAGGAGCTTACGTGAAAAGTCCAATTCATTTGGGGTGAAAGTGTACGAGCATCTGAAACACAAGAGGCTCAAAGATAGACGACCGATTGGATCTTTGGAGATGTATTCAACAAAAGCACCAGTTCAGCCCGACTTTAAATAATAATGACACAGTGCAATGAATAGGTCAATTAAGTAACACAGAGGTGAGTATACCTGCGACTTCTCTGATGCTACAGATCCTGATCTACACCCCTACTGTTATAATCCCACTGGCAATACTTCAACAGACCTGGAGGGCAAGATATAAAGATCATCCCTGAACAAAGTGCACCATCAGCTCTCCTCTCCAATCACAGCCATTGTCAGCAGAATTCAGAGCATTGCTCTACCAATCAAAACCACGTTGACAAAGGACAATTATAGAGAAGCGTAAAGTATTGAGGCGCTGCTATATCTCAGGCACGTCAGGAGACAGCTGGCAATATTCACATGCACCACAGGAAGAGCTGCTGTGTTTGTCATTTGGAAAATTTATAGTTTTAATTAGACATTTGGAATGCCATGTAAGTCATTGTTTGCAGAGTACACAAACGTGATGTGGACAACATTAGGCGACAGTTTAAACAAGTGACTCTGAAATTTAATTGGAAAATTCCGGTGTAATTAGTGCATGACACTTTGCTGTGTAATTGCTCAGCCTGATTTGTTTTCTCTCTCTCTCTCTCTCTCTCTCTCTCTCTCTCTCTCTCTCTCTCTCTCATGTTGTCTCTCAGAGATGGATGGGCCAGCATCACCCTGCCTCCAGCTCATAGTGACATGATTGACATCATGTTGCTCAATAACAGACATCATTAAAACCCAATTAGCTGAGTTTGAAAAGGGGGAATTTGCAAATGTCTAATTAAAATAAAGAGACGGTATACGTGCATTGCTTCTTATTCCCCACACCACTGGCACAGACTACATTTTTGTTTTCTGTGTAAGAATAAAATCCACTGATACACGTAGTCTATTTCTTTCTTTCAGAACATTCTCATGAAAAAATATGTTGTCTTTAATTTACGCCATCGCACACCTGGGAAAGACAGACGTGAAATTGTCGCATCCCCCGGTGAGGCCATCAGTGTACTTTGTTTTCTTTGCACTCACTTCTATGACTGGAGTATCCCGGGTTGTAGCCGTAGTAGCCGGTGATCCTCAGAATCCGGTTTTCTATGTCGTGCAGCCCGTTGGCTGTCACTTTGGAGCTCCCGTCCGTTAAGACAGCGCAGCTGCCACCGGTCGGCGTCGCCTTTTCCGGCAAGTGCGTGTTTATCAGTGGCTCCAGCCGGATGCAAGGCTGGTCTCCACTCTCCAAAACACTCTCGGTGCTTATCATTGTAGGTCCGAGCGGACAGAGATCAGAAGGGAGCGGGTATGAGCCCTGATCACCATGCGAGGGACCCTCGGGGCTGCATCAACAACAAGCAACAAGAGGAGGACATCCGAATCCACATTCCTTCAGTGAGGCTCCCGGACGCAGAGCAAGGTTATCACACTTCAAGAGTCTGGCAGACACCAAACACTAGGGGGCGTGTCACTATTATCACATGCTTTGAATTCAAAAACGTGGCTGTTGTCAGCTGTGTGGCGCAGGAGCCAACATCAATTACAGCCTTCATATAAGCAAGTTTCTAAAAACAAAAATATTTATGGCATATTGAAAATTGTCTGTGAATTAAAGTCGCTGTGGTTTTTATAATTAATTACTTATGGTTATTTTCATGTCTATATGATATTCTATAGTGTGATACTTTGATCGCAATCGTACCACTATATTACTTTAATATTGATATACACACAGGTGACGTTAATGTGGCCTTTGGTTTCACTGTGATGTTCCTGTAATATTTGGTTTGGGGATTGATTTTTGCTTATTTTTAAAGTGAGCTTTATTGATCTAAAAACATCTTCTCTCTCTCTCTCTTTTTTTATCTCAAAATAAACCACCGGAAGTTAATTAGTCTAAAATAACCGCATTGTCTGTAGCTGTTTTTAGAAAACAAACATGACAGATATCCACACACTTAGATCTATGCAGAGAACACTTTATTTTTAGCTTTCGGTGTAAAGGACCTCAAAGATTCAATAAATCTTAGCTCTTCATTTAACCCCACACAAAAATATCCAACACGATCACCAAGAATTCATTCTTAAGACACTATTTTCAGCATCCATTCACTGCTTCTTCCTGTTCTCTGATAGGACTACTCTTTCCCTCTGTGATGTTTCCATTTGCTGTTCACAATAAAAAATGTGCTTTTGAGAAACAAACGTGGCGCAGGTTTGTCTCATACACTGGTTTACAGCTTTTGACTCCCCTCGACACTTGAATGCGGGCCACAAGTGTTATTTTTATTTTCGTTTCTTTTCCTGTAAGTATAATATAAAAGTTTACAGGTATTGAAGTTTGTGCACAATATTTTATGCCATAAATAAAGTTGTTTCTTATCATTTTCAAACGCGTATTATAACATGAATCTTATTCTAAAGTTAAACCCAGAACAATCCCCTTTCCTCCTTCCTCTCTTTTCCTTGGCCACAGGTTTTCTGGCTGGCTCGTGAAAGCTCCACTTGACTGGATCCCCCAGCTTGCAGATGCTGCGCAAAAAAAGAAAAATTCAGAAAACTGGGCTCCAAATCCAATAACACAAGATGCAGTATTTCAGTGCCTCTCCGATACGCCTCTTTCCAAGTCCTCCACTCTCTGTGTGAAATCGATTCCCAGTGTGTGGAGAATTTGCGCCCCTGTTGGCATTGTTGTGCAGACACATGCTTGGGTTTATGTTGCCCTTGGACTCCAGAAGTGCTTCCTCCCCCTCTCTTACTTACTAAACCAATCTCCACCTCATGTTCTTTTGTTTCAGTTTGTTTGAGCTCCAAAGCACTTATCTCACACGTTCAGTTCAGGGACAGCTTTGTGGCTACAACAATGAAATGCCAATGCCCAGAAAGTTTTTCAACGCTTTTTGAGAATTGCTAATTTATTATTGGACACTTTCTTACAAGTTTGTGCCGCTATACACTCCAAAAAAAGTTTTCTTCAATCGCCTACTTTTGTTGTGGTTCTTTACAATTCTGTATAGTTTATGCAATACAAAACGTAAACGGCAGCATTACAATATTAGGTGGTGGCTTTCTCTCATAAGGTACTCGTCTAAGTTATTATTTTCAGCTAGAAATGCTTTGAAAAAAGACTTCAGTTCAAAAGGGAAATTTGCTCCCTGACAGTGGTGGGCTCATTAAAACTCTTTGCAGCTATAACCAACATTAGGAAAACTGTTTATGCATGAGCTGTGACAATGCAAGTCACTGTGCAACTGCAGGCAGAGCACCGTAGTGCGTCAAAGTGTCATCACTGCCCAGTGATCTCCATAGGAATCATTCAATCCTTGGAGCGATATCTTAAAAGCAATCATGAGAGGAGGTTTCTCATATCTTCTTTAATATCATTTCTTATTATCCCCCAGTCATGAGTATGGAATGAGATTTCAGACAGCATGATTAGCATTCATAGCATCCCCGGTGAATATTGTTTCACCTTCCTCTCCTCTAACCTTCTCTATTTCAGGAGAATTAATCTAAGAGTCTGAGCCTATTATCATGTTCATTACATCCTTAAACATTTCCTATTATTTTTCTGACTTGTGGTGAGACAAGCAATCTTGCTGTTGCTGCACAGCTGTGTTTATTCTGTGCAGCTTGTTCAGGTAGCGTGAGCAAAGAGTGTGGCTTCTATTTTTAGATGCTGGTTCTGATTTTGATGCTGAGATATGATGTATTTTTGGAGATAAATCAAATGATAGTTTGACCATAACTCACTGCCTCACTCTCATACCTCATTGACTCTTCTCCTCAGTGCTTGTGATAGGCATTAAACCCTATACTTTGCCTAAGTGGAATAAAAGGACACACTGAGGAGACAATATGTCCCATGTGACTTCATCCCAGGCCAACCCCATCGCACCAGTACCCCCCACAGAGACTCAGCAAGTCACCTTAGAGATCAGTGACCGACTCCCCAGCCACCTGCTGTATAAATATTCAATGTGCACTAAAGATAACCTGGCTCGTGCAGCCGAGAGAGAGAAAGAGGTTCTGTTCGGCAGGAGACAGTGCTGTATTTGGATATAGTGAACTCAACTGTGGCTGCATGGCTTGTTGGCCCGCAAAGGTCAAGCGTGGTAAATATTTAATAACTTTGATCAACGGGTCTCTGTGGTAATGTTTGGTTTTAGAGAGAGGGAAAGGAATGTGAGCAACATTAGGAACACTTAATCCCACCAGATCAGATTTACAGGATGAATAATCAAATCTTCAGGCTAAGAATGTTTGATCATGCCAGAAAAAATAGATATTTCTCTTCTTACAATAGAGGCTATTCTCTTGCACAACAACAGTGTTGATATGACTGTCTCCCTTTGTTCATTGTAGCTGTGCACAAGATGAAATATCATAATGTCCTTTAAAGCCTCATATGACCTTTCTTTGTTGTCTCCATGCAAAGAAAAACAGTCACCTGCTTGTGAAGTCTCACTGAGCGCTGAGCGGCCTATAAGGTTTCCTCTTTGTCTCTCTTCAGTAACAAAAGTTAATTTGCCTCAAGGAGGCAATTGGCGAATGAGCCCGCTGGCTCTCTTTTAAGGATGTCAATCCGAGTATAAATAAAATATAAAATAACCAGATTGTATTTTTAAAAATAGACGATCTGCTGATCTTTGCCTCTCCGTTATGCCAATTTCCTCTCTGCTATGTTTCATGCCTGTTTGAACATGCTTTTAGTGGAAGACGTTTAAATACTGTATGTGCAGTATATACTACCAACTGTGCTACGAGTCACTACTGTCACATGTGCTGTACAACAGACCCAGCAGCCAATTACCCTGAATATCACATACCTAACTAGAAGTGTGTTGCACATGAAAATTTCATAAGCAACCGTCTAGATATCTATTTTACTGAAGGTCAGCGTCTTCACATGTGGCCATGCATTGTAAAACATGTACACATGATTTAATGTTGGCTAATAGGGGACGAATGGAGGCACGTCACTGAAAGAATCAGCAAAATGGATATAGCAATATGTTATATATATATATATATATAGCTTGTACATGAGAAGGCACTTAACCTTTGACCTTATAGTATATAAAGAACAATCAATATACCAATCCAATTGACTGAACACTGCAGTGAGGCTCTCCATCCTGAGGCTTCTCTTTACAGAATACTGTGTGGGCTTTTTAGATTTGCTGCAGTGTTTTATACTGTTTTTCTTTCTCAGTCATTCTTATATATTTCTTTGCGCTGTGTGTATTGAAAATGTAAGTATATTTACACATGGAGATAATAAACATGATGTCTGTTAGATTGCGATAAAGAAACTTCAGTGCTGGGTGTAATCGGTATACTTACAAGGTTGAAAGGTCCCCTCACAATCACCAGATCAATGTGAAAGCAGCCTTCTAGTGTGGAACATTGCACATACATCCTTCTGTACTGTAAAGGTTGAACACCTATGTAAAGCTCATTTTTGAGTTGAGGGGGGCTTTATGTTTTAGTTACCTCAATGTGAGTAGGATTTCCTGAGAGGTTTTCTTACCATTAGGGCACACTGCTTGTCAAGAAGAAGTTAACCAGATAATTTATTTAATAAGTGATGATACCGTAAATCCTTGGGATAATTTAAGGATTGCACAATACTCTAATCCTGGTGAAAATGACCTCTTTGGCTCAAAGCAGAAAAAAACAATATCACAGAAGCCTCGTACACATATGCATCACACTGACATCTTTACTGCCACACTTGATATCTACACATCCCTTATGTTATCCCGTGTGTTTAATCATGTCACCATGATGCAGGGGGTTTCTGTTCTCCTTTCATAAAACAGGACAAAAGCTGTGTTCCTTTGGATGAATTGTAACTCGATCTCACCTGCAGAATCTGGGAGGAGGCGACTGCTGGAGATTTATGATCTCTGGAGATAACAAAATTAAATCCCTCTTCTGAGCTTTTCGGCATGCTCCATCCCTCCCGACTGCAGTCAGGATGATGGATTAGGCCGCTAGTGTGAGGGGGCTGAGGAGCAAAGGCTGGACGACACCAGCAGCAGGGACAGGGCATTTAGTCTGATTGACCAGGTGGGATTGTTAGTAATGTTCACATCGATATCAGCTAAGGGGCTGTCTCACTCTCACCCGCTCTGAATTTAGATTATTTCAGGATGTTCATTGTAACCGATGCTGTCCAACAGATTGCATCTGCAGACGACATAATAGTAAACAAACACGCATTTTAGCTGAAGAATGTTTTGAGTAACAATAGAATATCTGGTACCACTATTTACTGTTTCTAAGGGTTGTTAAGTTTAATGCTTATTAATAAATAAATAATTCACCAATGCTTTATATTTTGTAGCCATTAATAAGATCAACTTTTAGGTTGCCAGGTTGTAAAAAATCCCTTTGGTTTTTGGCATTGGTAATACAGCAGGTATAAATA